AATTTATTTCTGAAATTTTAATTCAATTTAATTGAATGTATATTAGATAGTACGAGTAGTTCAACATCTTAACACTCGGACCGGGAAGGCGCTTTGTATTTAAAGTCTTAATATTTATATAGACGGTCTTGTTTCCAATAATATAATTATTTTATAAATAATGTATAATATAATATGAAGAAAGTATCATCAGAAATTTTCATAGTAAATATAGTAAAAACCATGCTTATTCGAATGATTCATGATAATAAAAAGAAAAGACGCCACAATCTCCCTTCGAGTATTGTGCAAAAATAAATCATTAAATAATCATTATCAAACCGCGCCATTATTGTCACCGAGGTGCTAAGCTGAGACCGGGAATCGATTCCCGCGATAATAAAAATCCCCAAAGAAAAAAATCTCTTTAGAAAAAAAAGATATACGCCAAGTGTATAAAAAAAATATCGAATATTACGTTTCAGTAGGAATACAGGTTCTAACTTAGGCGAGCGGCAGCATGTATTTGAAAGGTAGGGCTGAGCATGTATTTGAAATACTTTTATTCAAAACACATTGTCTGGAATACAAAGGTATTTTGTATTTTTTTATTTTATCGGAGATCACAAGAAAATATTACTTATTTTGTATTTAAAATCGAAAGATTGAGAGCTTTTGTATTTTGTAATTCAAGTAATAAGGATTATCACACACAATGATAATATTTAAAATACAAAATACAAAATAATTTTATATGCTTCCACGAAATACAAAATACAAAATATTTTCATGTATTCCGAACAAACACAAAATATAATTGTCTTAGCAATACTGTTTTTCAAATAAAAGTATTTCAAATATTATACATACCAGCTCTGGCGGAGATACTTATAGGCGCGGGAAAGAGGATAGCGCGATGAAAGTCCTAAAATCGCTGTTTAAATAGGACCCCAGTCGGTGGATTCCATAAACAGAATATGTGTGATGACATTTCGCAATGCGCTTCGCATTTTTTTTTGCTGCTCCCGCTGCCGCCGCCGTGGACCATTGCCGCCGCCGCCGCCATCATGCACGCTGTTTCATACACTTACCATTTTTCTCTTGATGCGTTGCCGTCTTCTCTTATTTCTCTTGTTTTTCCTCACACATAAAACAATTTGACATGTTACATCGTATCCAGATGTTGACATCATCAACGTAATTTTGATACAATTGCGACGTTGCCAAACAGTATGCATAATGATATAATAGTTAAGACCGAGATGCATTGAAACGTTGCCAAGTAATGCGCATAATGATATAAAATGAAAGAATCTATTTTCTCCCCCCCCCCCTGCCCGAATTGCTGAAAATCCGCGCGCGTGTCTTTATACTTGTTACACGTTCTTTTCTTTTACGCGGATGGGCACATACGTATATGATTTGCAACATAGTAAGAAAAGCGCCGGCTATTTATTTAAATGAGGTGCGATAACGCGTCGAAACATAGAATAGGACGAATAGGGAGTAAAGGAAGTATGTAGTGATGCAAACGACAAATTTTTATTTATCTTTTATTATTATACATCGTTTTTTTCATAAGTACTAAAAACTAAAGCTAAGAATCGCAATCGATGAGCTGATGCTTATTGAAGTTGTCACTATCGCGTATAGCGTTCTTGGATACGATATTGGAGAATCGAAGAATTTTCCAATATCGCATCTTAGAATAGATGTCTAGGTTATCCAAAT